ACAGGTTTCAGTCCCGGGGGATTTTCTGGAGATCCTGCGGGTGCTGCTGGAAAACCAGGTTGGTTTTCCCTTTTTCCACGCGATTTCCCACCTTTTTCAGGGAATTTTATCCTATTTCCATTTTATATTTCCCATAAATTCCCGTTTTCTGTTTGTTTATAATTCCCGGAGCTCCCAAGTTTTTCCTCTTCCTTCTTTTCCCGTGGGATTTCCGTCGCTTTCTCTTCCCTCGCGTTGCTTTTCCAGCATTTTGGGATTTGCCCTGAAATATTTGGGAATTCTCTTTTATCCCCTCGGGAAACTGAAAGGAATTTTGGCACCATGATGTTATGGGGGGAGGGAGAAAGGATTGAAAAAGGGCCAAAATGGGAAAAAAAATCCCCAAAAAACCTGTGGATAAAAAAACCCCCAAAGTTTCCAGGATGGCCTCGTTTTCCTGGGAATTGCTGCTGAGGAAAAGGACACCCTGGAAAAAGGGAATTCCCAGGAGTTTTCCCTGTTTTCCCTTTTTTTCCCTCCTTTTCCTTTTTCCCCCTTTTTTTCCCCCCTTTCCCATTTTTCTCCCTTTCCCCCTTTTTTCCCTTTTCCATTCCCTCTAAATCCAGGAAAGGAACCCACAGAACAACTTCCAAAACCCGGGAACAGTTTGTTGGAGCAGATCCATCTGCTCCAGAACTCAGGAGCAGGACCCAATCCCATGGATTTCCCATTCCCACCTGGAATTTTTCCTTTCCCCACAGGAATGGGGCCCTGGATCCGGATAGTCCCCCTCGTCGCCTTCTCCGGACTCCACCCCACAACGGGTAATTTTATGGGATTTCATGGATTTGTTGAGCTTGGAAAAGACCCTGAGGATCCCCAGAGAGCTTCTGGAATTCTTTGGGATTCGAGCTTCCAAATGATTCCATCGGGGGAAGCGAGGGAAGTTAATTTGGGATTTTTTTGGGGGGGAGGGAATTTTTGGCTTTTTTTGCTTTATTCCCACCTGGCAGGAAGGACCTGGAATCTTCATCCCAATAATTCCAGCTGCCTTGGAGAGGGGGGAAAATCGGAATATTATTCTGGAGCTCCTGTGTCCTCCTCATCCATAGGGAGCATCCATGACCCGCTGCTCGTCCTGGACGGATTGGAAGACTCCGGAATCCGCCTCAAGTGCCTCTCGGAGCGGCTCCTTTCCGAAGTCGAGGTGCTGTGGGTGGACGGGAAAGGCAGGAATATCACCGGGAATCCCCTGGGCACGGACACATCCGGGAATGCCGGGAGCTCCATCGTCCTCAAACCGGGATTTGGGAACGCCGTGTCCTGCAGGATCGTCGACAACCTCGGGAAAACATCCACGGAATCCTCCGTCGTCATCGCGGGTGAGGGGGGGAAAACAGGGATCTGGTGCTGCTTTTCCCGGGAATCCCAATTTTTAGTGGGATAATCAATCAATTCCCGGTTTTAGGGATGAAAAATTCCGGGTTTGGGGATCCAAATTCCCTCCACTCCAGGTGTGTCCCCAAATCTCATCAGGACATTCCCCACGGGAAGATTCCCAGCCTGTGGAAAGGGGCTTTGGAAGAAGGTCCCTCCCAACCCAACCATCCCGCGATTCCATGGCCAGGGTGATATTCCGAGGGAATAACGGAGCCCCTGGATTGTTTTCCAGAGAGTTTCTTCCCGACCATCTCCCCCTGGCTCCCGGCTTTTGTGATGATCCTGCTCTTTGGAATATTCCTGGTCCTGGCAGCTGTTTATAAAATCCGGAGTAAGTTCCTTCATTTCCTTCCCTTTCCCTTCTTTTCCCTTTCCCCCCCTTCCCTTTTTATCCTTTCTTTCCCTTTCCCTCCTTTTTTCCCTTTTCCCATTTTCCTCTTTTTTCCCCCTTTTCCCCCCTTTTCCCCCTTCCCAGGAAAACCTTCCTTGGAAAAATCTCGAGTGAACCAACATTCCCCTTTCCCTGTTTTCCCACAGCCAACCAAAAGGCGACGGATCAGGAAAGTGAGTCAAACCATTCAATTAACTAATTAACGAAATTAAACCTCGGGCTTCTAAAAATAGAAATAAAACATGTAAATAAATAAATACAAAAAAAAGAGAAGCAGAAAACGGTCCTTAAAACTGATTTTTAAATTAATTAATTAAATTTATAATTTTAAATTAATTAAATTAATTAATTTAAAATTAATTTAAAATTAATTTAAATTAATTTTAAAATTATTTTTTGTGCTCTAAAATGTTCCTCTTTTCCCAGGAAACGCCCAGAAGCAAATTCAGGAGGGTGAGTGGAAAAAAAAAAGTGATTTTTTTTTCTCGGCGATTTCTGCCTTCAAATTTCTTTAACAAATTAAAAAAAAAAATGCATCAAATCCGGCGAGAAAATCAAATTAAAATTAACCTGAGCCCGGGAATTCAGCGACTGTTAAAAAAAAGACCCGGTGAAAGTGTCGGAAAAATGGGAAAAATTCGGTGTATTTTGGGGGAAAAGGGAGTAAAAAAGGGAAAAAAAAGTGATTTTTAATATTTGAACCCGATTCCTTTCAGACATCGAGGAATTCAAGATGGAGCTGGGTAAGGGCTGAGCTCGGGACTGAGGGTTTGTTGGACTGAGACTGTTGGAGTCATTCTGATGATTTCATAGACTTGGGGGGGGGGGTTGTCCTGAATTTCCCCCCATTTTCCTCATTTTCTCCCTTTGTTTTCCAGAGGAAGTGCAGGAGAAATTCCAGAAGGGTAAAAAATCCTGGATTATTCCTCCAGAATTAATTACATTTTATATAATAATATGTGTCGTAGGTAGAATTAGAATTATTTCAATTCTTTAAGAATATAAATTATATTATTATTAATTTATTAATACTGTTAACAGTAAGTATATATTGATTTGGTAATTATTAATATTTATGATTAATAATTAATTCATAATTATTAATTGTTATATTCATTAACATTAACTATTAATAATATAGAATATATTTTTATATCAAGTCACTAAATATAAAAATATATTTTTTCATGTATTTTAGATGTATTGTAGAATATTTTAAATATATTTTTATATCGTATTTTAAATATAATCTATTTTAATACATTTTAATATATTAAATATGATTTTGTGTATTTTTATATGTCATACACATAATTTTAAATATATTTCTCTACCTTTTAACCTTTCCATCCCCAAATTCCCAGAATTCCCCTCCTTTCCCCTTCCCAAATCCTGATTTCCTTTTCTTTCCTCGTAGAAAACCAGGAGATGACAACAAAAATCGGTGAGAAAATTCCACAGCTTGGGGAATTTCGGGAATTTCGGGTTTTTGGGGCTCCGGAAAAAAAAAGAAGCACTTTCGGGGGGAAATTGGGGCCACTTTGAGGGCTGGGGCCAGTGACACACCTGGGACAGGTGACACTGGTGAGAGGTGACACACCTGGGACAGGTGACACAGGTGACACAGGTGACACAGGTGACAGGTGACAGGTGACACACCTGGCTCAGGTGTCACAGGTGACACACCTGGGACTGGTGACACACCTGGAACAGGTGACACAGGTGACACAGGTGACACAGGTGACAGGTGCCACACCTGGCTCAGGTGTCACAGGTGCCCCACCCGGCCCAGGTGCCCCTTTTCCAGCAGGACGGTGATGGAATTTCTCTCCTTCCAGAACAAATCCAGGCCCAACTGGGTGAGTTGGTCCCGAACCCCGAAATTCCCAAACCCCGCCCCCGATTATGCAAAAATCATGCAAATGAGCTGCTCCTGCCGCGGTAATTAATCAATTAGCATTAATTAGTCGTTCATTTCCCTGCAGATTTCAGACGTGCCCAGAGAAACGTGGGTGAGTCAGGGCCTTCCCCTTCCCCTTCCTCTTCCTCTTCCTCTCCCTCTCCCCTTCCCCTTCCTCTTCCTCTTCCCTTCCCCTTCCCCTTCCTCTTCCTCTCCCTCTCCCTCTCCCTCTCCCCCTTCCTCTTCTCTTCCTCTTCCTCTTCCTCTCCTTCTCTTCCTCCATTTTCACATTAAATTATCCACAACCCCCCAAATTTTATATCATTTTTCTATCACTTTCCATAACCACTTTTCCCTAATTCCCTGGAAATCCTCGGCTTTCCCCCTCTCCCAGTCCCGCTGACCCTGGACGAGCTCTGCAAACATCCCGAACTCTCCCTCCGGGACCGATCCCGGATCGTTTCCTGCTCCGAGCAGCTCCACCCCAAACCCGTCGTCCTGGCCCAGGAATCCTTTTCCCAAGGGAAGCACTACTGGGAAGTGGAAGTCGGGGACGGATCCGGCTGGGAGCTGGGGGTGCTGGCTGAGGAAATCCGGGATTCCCTGCGGAGCGACGGGATGGTGCTGCCGCGGGAGCGGGAGCAGGTTCTCGGCCTCGGCTATTCCCGGGGGGAATTCAGCATTCCCGGGGGCCGGAATTCCGGGCCCTGCCCAGTGCTCGGGGTTTTCCTGGATCAGGAATCCCGCAGCCTCTCCTTCTTCGACGTGGAAGGGAAGAGTCTCCTGGCGTCGCTTCCCTTGAGGTTTTCTGGGAATCTCTTCCCGTTTTTCAGCCCCGGCTCCGACGGGAAGGGGTTGGGAATTCGCTCCGTGGGGGGTTAATAATTAAAATAATAAATTATGTAAATATCAATAGATTATCATATTTATAATTTGCGATAATTAATGAATTTGTAATTAATAAACTAATAAAATTAATAAATTAATAAAAATGTAAAATAATTTCTTGAATAATAAATTAAATTAAAAATTAAAGTTTTCCAATTTTTTTCCATTTCCTATCCCAATTATTTTCTCCTCTGGAGACGAGGATGGACAACAGGAAATCCCAAAATTCCCAAGGGAACCCAGAGCACGACTCAAATCCCAGATCTGGAGATTCTGCTGGGAATTGCATCCAAGGGAGCTCCCACCCCCCTTGTTCATTCCACCTGATGGAGCCGGGATCAAGCTCCTGCTCCAGGCTCTTCCCACCCAAATTCCAGCACATTTGGGGACCAAATAACCTCTCCTTCCCATCCTTTTCCTGCTAGGAATTCCCCAATGGGCCCAAACGTCCTAAGAATTCCCAAACCAACAACATTTCCCTTCAAAAACCTTTTATTCCATTTCTTTTTTTTTTTCCCAGGAAAAGCCAGTCTCAGACGTTTTTTTTTTTCCAGGGAAAACCAGTCCCAAATGGGGGTTTTATCCAGGGAAAACCAGCCCCTTTCCCCCTCCTTTCCCTCTTTTTCCCCCTCCCACACCCTCACGTTCCTTCCCATTCCCATTTCCATCATTTTCTCCCCCCTTTTCCCCCATCCCTGCTCAAAGTCCCTTTAGCGGGACCGGGATCGGCACCGGGCGGATCCCGACCCCTTCCCCCCGGGACACAAACGGGAAGAACATCCCCTGGGAATTCCCCGCGGTGCTCAGACCCAGCCTCTCCACGAGCTCCGCGGTCTCCACGTCGTAGAATTCCAGGCACTCCCAATCCAGGTCCAGGAAGACGCCGAGGGCGGAGCCGCTCCAGCGGAGCTTCCCGAGCCCGCGGGCGCCGGCGCTGGAGAGAATCTCTCCCTGGGATCGGCGCAGAGCCCAGGAATCCCGGCTGGGAACGGGCCGGGCCTCGCATCCCGCGTTTTCCAGCAGCACTCCCAGCGCCCAGTCCTGCTCCCGGCCCAGCTCCAGCTCCCAGTAGTGCTTCCCGCTCCCGAAGCCTTCCCGCCCCACGCGCACCGGGAATGTGGGAGCGGACGCGTCGCTCTCCCCGCTCGGGAGCTCCAGGATCCGCTCCGGGGCATTCCAGGATACGGGAACTGCGGGACAGCAGGAGGAGAAGGAGCCACGGAAACCCTGAATTCCCAAGTCCCAGAATCCCCAAATCCCAGAATTCCCAAATCCCTGGATCCCCGAGTTGGCTGAGGTTGGAAAGGCCCCCAAGGCCTCCCCCCGGATCTCTCCCATCCTGGGATTTCCCAGGACACAAATCCCTCTCCCTCTTCCCATCCATCCTCTCGGGAATTGCATCCTGATCCCATCCCGGCCTCGGACGCCTCCCAGGACTCCCTTTTTCCACCATTCCCAACATCCCCATCCCTTCTCCATTCCTGCCATCCAAGGCACATTCCCATTTTTCCAGCTCACCTGCGTGGCTCCGGGCTTCCCAGAAATCTATGGAAAAACAACAGACGTCGCTGCATTCCAGGTTTTTTGGTGGAATCTGGTCCTCTCCGGACTGGGAAAACCCTTTGGATCTCCCAAAAATCCCATTTAATCCCCAAATCCCAGGAATTTCCACAATCCCATCTTTTTCACTCACCCAGCTCTGCCTTCAGTCGACCTGCAAGAAAAAGATATTCCAGGTATTTTTGTTTGGATTTCCTATCTTTCCCCAGTTTTCCCCATTTTTTGCCAGTTTTTCCCCTTTTTTCCATTCTTTCCCCATTTTTTGCCAGTTTTCCCAATGGGAACAACTCCTGGGAGTGGAAAACAAGGATATTCCTCCCCATAAATTGATATTTCACTGCATTCATTAACTATAAATCCAGGGAAAACATGGATATTAACAGGAATTCTCATCCTATTGTTTCTAAAGATGACCCAGAGCACAGTGTTATGTAAATTTATGCAAATTTATGTAAACCAACCCCCTTACCGAAGCGTTTCTTGAAGTGGATCTTGGCTGGAAAAAAAAAAAAGGGGCAGAAATTGAGGGAGGAGAAAATTCCAGAGGAAAAAAAAAGGAAAATATCCATGGGAAAGACATTGGAATTATGCCAGTTATTCCTTCTGGGAATTCTGTTAAATTCCAGGACTGAGGGAATTGCAGGTTTTTGCTAAAAAGGTGGAAAAGGGGAAGGAGAAGAAAAAGTTTTGATCCCGAAAAAGTCCCAGTGGAATTCGGTGGAAGATTTGGGCTTGGATTTTGGGATTTTGGGGGTCTTTTCCTGCCTAAGTGATTCCATGAAATCCCACGGAAGAGGAAAAAGCTGTGACTGGATCATCCCTGGGGGTTAATTAATCACTTTTAATTAAGATGAACTTGATTAAACCGAGGATTGTTTTCCCAAGGAATGTTTTATGGGAATGGGATTTACCCGCTCGTTTCTTGGCTTTCTCTCCGTCTGGAGATTCCGGACGTGGAATCGAGGGAATAATTGGGAATAACATTAATATTTAATAATAGATATTGTTAATATTTGTTAATATTTATTATTAATGTGGGAAGGGAAGGGAAGGGAAGGGAAGGGAAGGGAAGGGAAGGGAAGGGAAGGAAAAAGGGAATCTCTTACCCAACAACGACTTCACCTTCTTTTTTTCTGGAAAAGAGAGGACACGGAATTTTGGCTCCCAAAATTCCCGATTTGGGAACTTTCCTAATATTTGACGCTGGACATTTCCCGTTTCCTGAGGGATTTTTTACCTTCTTCCCTTTCCAGCTTCACTTTCACTGCAAAACAAGGGAAATTCATCCAAAATAGCCATAATAAATACAAATAATATGATTAATATAATTAATATAAATAATTCACCTTAATTCCTCATCACTCACCTGCACTGGCATTTTTCTTGTTGCTCCCTGGTTAAAAAAAGTGGGGAAAAAAAGCCCTTTTATCCCATGTTTTTTTGCACAGAAACGAGCTCCAAATTATTTTTATTCCAGGGGATTTTTTTTTTCCCCCAGGATTTTCCCAACACTTACTCCTCAGGAGGCAAAACACAGCAGAAATCAGGAGCAGGTTGAGGCCCAAAAGCACCAGGAAACCGATGAGCCAGGAGGAGACGGAAGGGAGGAAAACATCTGGGAAAAGGAGCAACACTCCATTAATTATTTTATATTAACGATTTTCAAAGTGTGTTAATAATTAGAGAGTTTTATTTTGGACCCAAAGGTTGCATATAAATGATTAAATATTAAGTATGAATTAAATTATTAAATATTAGGATTAAATTAAGGATTAAATATTCCACCGTGGATTTAAGGAGTAAATATATAATATATAAATATTATATATTTATAAATATATGTAATAAAATAATAAATAAATATTTATATATTTATAAATATTATATAATATATAAATATTATAAATATATAAATATTGTTTATATAAATAATAACAAATAAATAAAAATAAATATAAAAATATATAAATATATGAATCATTATTAAATATTAGGATTAAATTAAGGATGAAATATTCCACCGTGGATTTAAGGAGTAAATATGTAATATATAAATATATATATATTTATAAATAAATATATAAATTTCTCCCAATATAATAAATAAATATATAAATTATATAAATATATAAATAAATATATATAAATATATGAATAATAATATATAAATAATAATAAATCTATTATATAATATAAATAATATATAAATAATAATTACATAAATATATAAATAAATATCTATATTTCTCCCAGCACAGATCCTGGGAACGGAGCCGATCCCAGGGGTGATCCTGGACCCACCCGAGATGCGGATCCGGGATTCCCTGGAGACGTTGAGCCGGGGGTTGAGGATCCTGCAGGAAACCTCCAGGTCGGATCCGGGCGGGAGGGTCACGGAAGCATCGACCCGGAACAGCCCCGACGGCTCCGGCGTCGTCCTGGGGCTGGAAAATCCCTCCCGGAGCTTCCCTTGGCCGTCCAGCCAAAGGATTTCGGGATTGGGGAACCAGCCCGAGGCTCGGCAGGAGAGGCCGAGGTCCCTTTTCCGGGAGTTCACGACGATGGTGGGAACGTCGCCGACGGCTGCGGAAAAACGGGAGGGTTTCCCTTCCAAACAGCGGGAAATTGGGATCTGGGGGGAATTGGGTTTCCTTGGAAAAGGGTTTTAAGGGTTTGAAGGTGTTGGAAGGTTTTTTCCTTGGATTTAAGGAGGGACGGGAGGGAATTAAAGGGGAAGGAGTGGAAGGGATTCCAAGGGAATGAGGGATTCCAGGGAGAATCTGGGAGAGGGAGGGGGGAGGTTGGTTTAGGAGGAAGTCGGGAGTGGGATTTGCCAGGATTTGGGAAAATGTGGGAATTATAATTACTATATTATATATTTACTATTTACTATTTAATATCTATATATAAAAATTAATATCTATTAATATCTATTAATATATTAATTATATATTATTAAATATATTGTTAATATATATTATTATGCATTTAATATGTATTTTATATATTATATACTATATACTATATTATATATTTTTACATTATAGTTAAAGAGTGTATATTGTACACTATGTATTTATATATTACGTATTATATACCTATATTTCATTATACACCTATATTTTCATATTTATAGAAAATAAATATATGACACAAAAATATCAAATATAAAAAAATAAAATATAAAAACCATAGAACATAAAAATATAAAATAATATAAAAATATTCAAACGCATAAAAATGCACCAAAATAAAATAACCATAAAAATTTTGCCCCATTTTTTTTTTTTTTTAAAGAAATAAAATGATCCCAGAATTCCCACCTGCCACTTCCAGCTCCACCGACGCCTCCCGGGACACGTCCTGGGCTGACACGTGGCAGGTGTAGAACCCTCGGTCGGAGATCCCGACGTTCCTCAATCCCAGGGACACGTTCCCGGCCCGGAATTCCCTGGGGAAAAACTCCGCCCGGCCCCGGAACCTCCCGTCCCACTCCTCCTCCC